TTTGAGTTTCAGTCTTGGAGGGGGATTTGTCCTGAAGGGACTTAATTGTTTTTTCAATAATATTTTTTGACACATTAAACATTAGTGACTGAAGTCAGAAGTGTTATGGAATGACATCAAGGACATTATACATTGCAAAAGCAAATAATCATTAAAAAGACAGGAGTTTCACTTAAACATATGGTACAATCACCTAGTAAGGAGCCCTATAGCATAGTGGGTTATGCATCAGACTGCTAGACTGCAAGGTCATCAGTTTGATACCACCAGCGGTCTCTCAGGAGAAAGATGAGGCTCTCTGCTCACATTAAGATTTATGGGGTCACTGTGAGCTGGAATTAACTTGAAGGCACACAACCCAGTAGATTGTTACCATCATCACTCTAGAGAAACAGTTCCTTTTAGATTAAAAGTTAAATTATTTTATTTTACCTTCAGCTATTCCTTCCTAACCCTCTTCCTTTATGTAGATCTGAGTTTCAGACCTATATCATTTTCCTTCTCCCTAAAGAATTTATTTTAATATTTCTTGTAGGCCCCATCTGCTAGTGATAAATTTTCATACTTTTCATTTATCTAAGAAAATCTTTATTTTTGTCTTCACTTTTGAAGGATAATTTTTCTGGATGTGTGAGGGTGAGTCAGAAATTATCTGCACTCTGGCTGTAGAATTTATTTTAATCAACTTTTAGAAGAGACAAATACATCATTTTTTGACACAATCTCCTTGCTTTTCAGTACACTTTGTCCATCTGTCAACTAGCTTTCATGGAATATTAAAAACAGTTTTTGGGGGGTGAGCTGTGAGTCATGAATGTACGGCTGTCTTCACTTCTACATCAGAGGTGAATCTTTGTCCTTGAAGAGCTGCTTTCAGGGGACCAAACAGATGGAAGTCCGATAGAGCAAGATCAGGACTATAGGAAGGATGCTTTAACACCTCAAAATGAAGTTTTTGCAGAGTGTTAACAGTGTAGGCAGAGGTGTGTGGACGTGCATTGTCACAACAAGATCACAAAGCCCTTGGATCGCAGTCCTCTGCGTTTAATCTGAAGTTTAGGCTTCAGATCTTCAGTGAGCATCTTACTGCAATGAGTATCATTGACTATTGAAACTTTTTCCTGAGAGTCTTCCAAGACCGGCCCTTGAGAATCCCAGAAAACTGTAATTATCAGTTTTGCAACTGATGGTTGACTTTTAAATGTTTTCTTGGTGGGCGATTGAGGATGTATTCCATACTCTGCCATTTACTCTCAGGCTCATAGGGATGAATCTATGCCTTGTCACCAGTAACAATTTTTTTTTTTTCTTTCTTCAGGTTTTAAAACTTTTTATTTGCATGTTTTAAAAATGTGCATTCTAATAATTAAAATCATTTGAACGAAAAAAATGGCACCCCAATTAAGTTGCACTGTATGCCTATGGGACACCTTGGACCAGCTTCGTTTTTACTCTCTATATTTAATCCGCTGTCGTCCCACCCAGCTCCTTTCTTCACCATGCAAGTTGTTTTCCTTCCCTGACAGCCAGACAGGCCGGTGGGAGTGGCAGCTGCTGCCTTCCTTATCAGTAATGCTCCATTCTTTGATGTGAAAAGGGGCAGCATAATCATTTATACTTGATCCAACCTCTCTGCATCTTATAAAGTTCAACAGCTCAAAGAAGGAAAATAAGAAGGCCATGCTTGTAGGATGCACGGTGTATACAGGTGTGCCCACTTCATTACGATTCGCCCTCTTGCTTCTGTTCGATCGTTTCTTCTGCAGGCAGTGGATTTTTCTCTTGCGTTTCTGTCTTCTTCAGTTTCAGTTTATTGAATTTCTCAATCTCAGCCACACTGGGTTTGCTAGACATGGTGGCGGTGGAATTCAACGAGACAAGAATGAGCAGAGTCCTTGTGCACAGTGGCTGCCACTGAGTCCAGTGACAATTAAAAAAAAAAAAAAAACTTTCACCTTCTTTCGAGTATTGGTCCAAATTGTGTTTGCAGATGCCCATATGCTTCTGTTAACGCTCTTCTGAGAGTTGTTTCAGTACCCGTCTCGCACAAACTTGTTGAAACCCAGGTCTGTCGTGGATGATTTCATAGGCAGAGAGCCATGGCTGATTTGCAAACGATTTGCCACATAATCCACTGTCACTTGTGTGTTCGACAGAATCATTTCACATGCACGCTCAATGTTGTCATGAGTTGTGGAAGTGGACGGGCATTTTAATATAACTGGAGTGCACATAATTTTTGACTCACCCTTGTAGAATTCTGGGTTGATTTTAACACTATAAATATATCTTTCCACTTTCTCCTTGTTTACTTGGTTTCTGATGTGAAGTCATCTGTCATTCTTATCCTTGTTCCTCTAATTGTAACACTGTCTTTGTTTTTCCTTCCCGTTCTCTCAAGTTTTCTCTTTATGATGGGTGTTCTGCAGTTTGGATGTGGTATTCCTTGGTAAAGATCTTCTTTTGCATTTATCCTGCTAGAGGTTCGCTAAGATTCCTAGATCTGTGCTTTGATATTTGCATTAATCTATTACTTCAATCATTTCTTCTGTTCTAGTCTCATTCTCCTTCTGGTATTCCAATTATGCCTATGCTATATAACTTGAAATTGTCCCACAATTCTTGATGTTTTGTTCTTTTTTATCCTTAATTTCTTTCTCATTAAATTTTAGTCTGGGAGGTCTCTACTGACATATGTTTAAGCTCACTGATTCTTTCCTTGCAAGTCCAGTCTACTGATGAATTTTTCAAAGGCTGTGCTGAAGAGCAAAGATGTCAACCTGAGGACTAAGGTGCACCTGACCCAAGCCATAGTATTTTCAATAACCTCATATGCATGCGAAAGCTGGACAGTGAATAAGGAAGACCTTAGAAGAATTGATGCTTTTGAGTTATGGTGTTGGAGGAGAATATTGAAAGTGCCATGGACTGCCAAAAGAACCAACAGATCTACGTTGGAAGAAGTGCAGCCAGGGTGTTCCTTGGAGGCCAGGATGGCTAAGCTTCGTCTCTCATACTTCAGACATATTGTTAGAAGGGACCAGTCGCTGGAGAAGGATATCATGTTTGGTAAGATGGAGGGTCAGAGAAAAAGAGGAAGGCTCCCAGCGAGATGGATTGGCCAAGTGGCAGCATCAATGGGGTCAAGCCTGGCAACACTTGTGAGGTTGGCTCAGGATCAGGCAGTGTTTCATTCTGTTGTGCACAGGGTCGCTATGGGTCGGTACTGACTCGATGACACCTAGCAAAAAACAACAATGTCACACTGGACAAGTTCCTGACTGTCTCTGGACCTGTTTGGTCGTCTGTATAATGGAGTAGGGTGGCAGGATGAGAGAACCTGGGCTAGCAGACTTGTCTTTAAAATGATGGAAGTTTGTTTACAGTAATTGAGAAGAGGCATACTGATGGGTACAGGGGAACTTAATCCTCTGCAGGTCACACTGTGGACTGGGACTAATGAGGCAGCAAGACCACTAACAAAGGCCAGCCCAGCAGAGGAGGGGAGATGGAAGTACTGTCCCGAGACTGGCACATACCAGACACAAGAGTATGTGCAAATGCACAGGGCGCCTATGCTCAGCTCCAACTACAGAAAGGTGGCTGCAAAGGATCCAACACAAAGATGCTAAGGGCTGTGCTGCCCAGTCCTAGAAAGATGGGAGAGCCAGGAGAACGAGGGCTGGTAAGCCTGGGGAGAGCCACTAGGAATATGGGCTCTGGGTCCCCCGCAAGTCTCTCTCCCTATGACCTTGGGAAGCCTTCTCTGAGATGACATCAGCTGAGTACATCTGTAGAGACATTAGGTGAAGACAACAAGCAACCAATCTACTGCCCTGATGATTAACCAACGTTTGTTGGACAAATACATAAAGCTCTGGAGGGCTTTTCACTGGAGGGCTCAGGAGGACACCAAGAAGCCTGGGTAACTGGTTGGGCTGAGAAGAGGGATGTGGTGGGTATAACGGGGGAAGTAGGTTTGTCTGCCCATCTCCTCCAGAGACTCCTTTGGGCATGGCACTGGGCACTGTTGAGGCTGTCCCCAGATTTCACTGCCTGCACCCCCATCATTACCCGATTCCAACTCCTGGTTGGGAAGGTAGGACCATGGCAGATGTCATTCCTGGACCTGCTGCCCTCACATCCAGTTCTGGCTCTGTCCTTGACCTGGTCTGTGTACAAGAAGGCCACCCCCTCTCCCCTCCACCCCATGCTGGCTTAATTTCCCCAGCCACTGATGGGAGATGGAGAGTGAGAGGAAATGAGAAGCCAGTATTTACACCCCTCTGCCCCTCGCACAAAGGGTTCATGCTTAGACTCCTGGTAGGTGGTTCAAATCCACTAGCTGCTCCTTAGAAACACTACACAGGGTCACTATGAGTTGGAACCAACTCCAAGGCACTTAACATCAACCACAAAATGAGTTGGAATGGACTAGATGGCACTTAATGTCACCACCAATACTAATCAAAAGGTTGTCAGTTCAAACCCACCCGGTGGTACTGTGTGACAACACAGTTCCATAACGATTGTTGTTGGCAAGGGCTGCCAAATCGATTCTAACTCATAGCAACCCTGGACAGGGTTTCCAAGGAGTGGCTGGTGGGTTCGAACCACCAACCCTGTGGGTCACAGTCCAGTGCTTATCCAATAGCACCACACCACGATTGTTGTTGTTAAGTGCCAGTGGAGTCGGTTCCGACTCATAGCGACCCTGCACAGGGTTTCTGAGGCTGTAAATTTTTACAGGAGCAGAAAGCCTCATCTTTCTCCCGCGGAACAGCTGGTAGTTTCGAACTGCTGACCTTGCAGCCTGATTCGTAACCACTACACTACCAGAGCTCAGAAAACCCTATGAGGCTCACTTCTACTCTGTAACGCATGGAGTAGCCATGAGTCACAGTTGATGGTGATAGGTTTGGTTTATGTTTTTGATTTTATCTCAAGAAGAATCCCTGACTATGGTGCATTCTGTGTCCAGTTTTGATCTGGGGACGTTCACACCTTGACTCTAACATCCGGCATCCCTCTAGTTTCTAGACTTTCAGAAACTTCCCGCTGATGCTCGTCCCAAGGCTGCCTTGCTGATCCTTGTTTGACTTCTCAGCCTCTCTGCCTATGATTCTCTGCATTCAATCCCTTCTGTTTTATAGACATTTTGTGTGGAGACCCTGATACACTACCTGTTTGGACCACACACCTCTGGGGGCTCACCCAAAACCCATTACCATTGAGATGATTTTGACTCACATCAACTCTATAGGATAGAGAAGAACTTGCAAGATTGGAAGCAGACTGCTTTGTTGGGAGAAAATAGCTACATTGTTTTCCCTCAGAGTGCTTGGTGGGTTTGAACTGCTGACCTTGCAGTTAGCAGCCCAACACTTACTCCACTGCACCATCAGGGGTCCTTGGTAGGGCTCACAGTGCTGTAGAATTCAATCCATCCCCTGCCCTGCTTGATTCTACAACCAACTCACGGAAGCAGTAGTCAAGAAATCGAAACACGTATGGCATTAGCCAAATCTGCTGCACAAAACCTCTTTAAAGTGTTCAAAAGCAAAGACATCAGTTTAAGGACTAAGGTGCGCCTGACCCAAGCCATGGTATTTTCAATAGCTTCATATGAATGTGAAAGTTGGACAATAAATAAGGAAGACCAGAGAAAAATTGATGAATTTGAGTGTTGAAAGAGAATATTAAAAGAATCGTGGATTACCAGAAGAACAACAAACAAAAATCTTTATTGAAAGAAGTACAGCCAGAATGCTCCTTAGAAGCCAGGATGGCCAGACTTTGCTTCTCATACTTAGGACATATTATCAGAAGGGCCCAGTCCCTGGAGAAGGAGATTATACTTGGTAAATTGGAGAGTCAGCAAAAAAGAGGAAGATCCCCAATGAGATGGTCTGGCATAATGACAGCAGTAATGGGCTCAAGAAACAATAATTGTGACGACAGTTCAGGACCAGACAGTGTTTAGCTATGAGTTGGAATCAACTCGAAGATATCTACCACCAACAACTAACAACCTGTCCTGTCAGGAAGACTGGCACAAAGACAAACACCTGGTTCCCTAGGGCAGCCCAAAGAGATTTGCAGAGGAGGGGTGTGTGAGCTGAGACCATGAAGGGTGAGGAAGAATTTGCCAGGCAGAGAAGGTGGGAAGGGCTTTCCAGGGAGGAGTATGTGCTGAGGCCCACCTGCTGACGGGCCTGGATGTTTTCTGTGCTGTGAGATTCTAGGGTGGGTGAGGCAATGTGTGAGGGAGTGCATGTGGGGTTGGGGGGATGGTCAGTGGGAGCAAGCTTCTCTGTATGTTACATGCCAGGCTCACTCAGTCACTTTGGAATTTCTTGCATCAGCATTTCTGGGGAGGCCATCAGAATCTCTGGGCTCCCGATTCCCGGGTTCAAGGGAGTCTTTTCTACTCAGGACAAGGCTCCGGGAGACCTAGCAGGAACACTGGCTCTCCTTTTCCATCAAGGCACACCTCTGATGTCCCTGGCCCCAAGGGAACTCCAGGTAGGGCCATGTTGGCATTAACCTTCCAGGAAAACCACACTGACTCAGTGTGGCTGGTGGCCTGTGGGGGAGATGGGAGATCTGGGACTGCTGAGGAAGTAAATCCCATACCCCCCCCACAGGGTGATAAATGGGGGGGGGGCAGCTGGGGGGAAACTCAAGGGTAGAGAGCTGGATGATGCCCACCCACCCTTGGGAGGTAGACACACCAGTGCTCCCTCCTCGGGAGTGAGACTCCCATCCAGCAGTGGGGGCTCTCCTGGCCCAGCTGTGGGGTATGGGAAGACGTCCGGGTAGGGGCCAGGAACGGATTCTGGAGGCGCCCCCCT